GATGTTTCCTCAATTATGAGAAAAAAATAATAAAAAACAGACAAGTTGCTTACTTAAACATAGAAATGCACCAAAGCCAAGATTGCTTTGGCAAAGCAATGAAGAAACAAACTGCAGCGAAAGCCCACACCGCTACAGTTATTAGCCATGCTATCTTTGAAACTTTCTGGGATCCTCTCTGAAGAAAAAGGACAAGAGAAACCATAATCAGTACATTGTGAAGAAAGACAAAACAATAATCGGAGACTTTGGGATCAAATGTACTTCATATATGAACACTTGAACTATGGTAAAGGCCGTCAAAATAACGGCATGGATCGAGAAGGCAACATCATTTGCAGCTACTGGAATCATCTGCAACACGACAAAAGCAATTCATAAACCACTTGAACTCGCAAATAATGAGAATTTTCATATACATGGTGGCCTTAGTCCAAGTAAAATGCAGAAAAGCATGGTATTGGTGTAGAGAGAGAGTAGAACTGTATGCAAATGGGTCGTTAGAGACAGAGAGATTCAAACTCAAGTGAGAAACTGAGAGAGAGAGAGAGGGCTGGCAAAGGGTCCGGTCGGGTAGGGTCCAACCTGGACCCGAAAATAATTATGGGACCCGCACCCAACCGGACACAAAGTTATCACACCCAGACCCGGACCCACAAAAATATATTTAAATATGATATTAAATATATGGGAAAAGTTCATAGAGAGTCGAGGCTCTAAAGAATCAAACTTGATCCTACCTCAAAAATTTAAGTAGAAGATGCTGTTTTGATGCCCAAATATCTTCAAACTGATCATCTCGACGTCAAGATTCATGAACATGAGAAAAAAATGGATTGCAAGTTTTGGAAATAGTGTATTTTGTCACGCATTTTTTGACAGTCAATTTTCAAGATTTTCAAGTTTGCATAAATACGTCGATCTACACTAATTTTTAAGCTTTAAACTTTATAAATAAATATAAAAATATGTTTTAATGCTATCACAAAACTTTCCAATATTGAAACCATTCTCGATACTATTTAGAGGTAGGCTCTCATTTGATGGTTTAGAGCCTAGGCTATGTATAAACCGCAACCTAAATATATACATGTATTATTTAACTATGGAAAAAGTTTATATAAGGTTGCAACCTTAAAATGTAGAACTACGGATGCATCTCAAAAATCTATTGAAAAATATTGTTTTAATATTGAAAAACACTCTAATTGATCATCTTGATATCGAGATATATGACTTTGAAAAATAAAGAGAATTTTGAGTCCTGAAAATAGTGCATCTTACAACACTTTATCTAGACCGTACATTTTCAAAATTTCCATATGTTTATAGATCTACTTGATTTTAACCATTTTTAGAGTTTAAAATTTTACAATTAGATATGAAAATAGACTTTGAGATAATCATAAGAATATTTTACATCAAAATTATATGTTATAATAAAATTTGGAGGTACACCTTAATTGGATTGTTTAAGGTTGCAACCTTATTCAAATCACACTCTTTAAGTATTATAAGTAGCTATATTAAACACAGGAAAAATTACGAAAAAAACCCCAAAATATATGCCCCATCTACCTTTCTCTCTTACTTTTTTCCAAAAACACAAACTCTTTATGCAAATGCCCCCCAACCATCCCAAAAATTAAAAAAAGGTAAAACTACCCTTTACCCATTACCCACGCTGCATGGTGTAAGTGCGTTTCGGCAGTGTAACACAGCGCTCCGGCAGTGTAATACAACACTCAGGTACTGCGTAAGTACGCTCTGGCAGTGTAGCATTCTGAGTCACAGGGCTACGATACTATTTAAGTGCGCTCCGACAATGTGCTACGGAAAGGGCACTTTCGTCTAAAAAAAAACTTTTTCCCTCGGGGGTATTTACCTAAGTTGGAAAAATTACAAAAAAAAACCCTAAAATAGACTATTTATACAACTTACCCCCACCCCAATCTTTTCTTTCACTTTTTCCCCAAAACAATTTTTCCTCGTAAAAACCCTCTAACGTCAATAGTAGTTACTTTTTAGACGAAAATGCCCTTCTTGTACAAACCAAATCAATTTGCAGGTCCCAAGTAGCATAATGTCGAAGTGCATCTTTGCACTGCTGGAGCGCGATCTCATAATGTCAGAGTGCTGTGGCTCGGACCTGCACTGCCGGAGTGCACATTTCGAACGCCGGAGCGCTTGTTTATACTGCCGGAGCGCGGTCCTCGCCGGAGCGCTGTGGCTCCAAAGACTTCATTGTCGGAGCACGTCTTTGTACTAACGGAGCGAGTTCTCATAATACTGGAGTGCTGCGGCTCAGACCTACATTATCGGAGCATACATTCAGAATGTCGGAGCGTGTGTTCGTACTGCCGAAGAGCGTGTGAAGACAGGAGATAGAAGGCTGTATGAAAACAAAAAAGGATAGTTTGATCTTTTTTATTCCATGCTACTTTTGGGTTTGGGGGGTTATTTGAGAAGAAAGGTTGTTTGAGGAAAAAAACATGAGAAAAAAATTACGATCGGGGATAAATTGCATACGAAATTCATTCTTAGGTGTTTTTTGTAATTTGCCTTGTAGTTGGCTGTTTTGGAACAAAATGGGAGGGATAGTTACCTGTTTAAAAGTATATTTTGGGTTTTTTTTAAATTTTTTTTAAAATAAATATTATTAAAATATTATATATTAAATATTATTTAAATAATAACATCCGGACTTAAATAGCATTCGGATCCAACATAATCGGACTCAGGTCAGATCCAGTCGGCGTCGGGCCCGGTTCAGGTCTGGGTCCATCGCATGAGCGAGAGAGAGAGAGGGGTTCTGACCTCACCGGAGCCATACTTTTGGCGATACTGGCGTTGGATGAAGGAACTGAAGAAGAGAGACGTGTTGTAAATGAGGTAAGAGGAGTGCTTTGTGAGATTGAGGACCAAGAAATCAAAATTAAGCCCCACGACACTGAAATCAAAACCAGGAAGACATGAATGAACTGTAAAAGCAGAAGGAAACATAGAGAGAGAAAGGGGGGAGAGAGAAAAGAAACCTTTTTCTTCTATAGTTGAGGAAGACTTGGGGGTAGAAACTGATGGACCAGGAAACAAAAGCGATCCAACCAAGAACCTGGTACACAACCTCAAGAGGCAAGGAATTCCATGAAGCCATCTCTCTCTCTCTCTCTAACCTCTACAAAGCCTTCTCCCTCTCTCTAGCCTCTACAAAGCCTTCTCTCTCTCTCTAACCTCTGCAAGGTCTTGGCAGTGGACTCCAGTAACAAGCTACACAGTTGTAATTCTTAGAAGCCCATAAGCTAGTCAGTATCCCCACATCAACTCTCTCTCTCTCTAGATTAAGTAACCCAATTAGCCGCCTTTAAATGTCATTCTCTCTCTAGATTAAGTAAACCAACAAGCCGCTGTTAAATGTCACTCTCTCTCTAGCCGCCCCGTTATATGTCACTCTCTCTAGATTAAGTAACGCTACTGTACCCCGTTAAATGGCACTCTCTCCAACATTGACGATGCTTTAAGTCAGTGTCTTCAATGCACTGAGACGGAGACGGAGACGGAGACGGAGACGGAGACGGAGTGCTCGCTCGCTCTAAGGCTAACCCATTGTCTAGGTTCAATGAACCAGGTAGGACCATAGTCCGGAAGTTAGGCATAATACATTGGCAAACCAAAACATCAAAATGAATCGGTTTCGTTTCAAAACCTAAGAGGAAAAACTCGGATAAAAATTATGAATCACAAGAAAATAAGATAAATTATAGAATCGTAAATATTTGGATTTGTTTTAAAAAAACAGTGTGAAAACACCAGATATATAACTATGACAAATATAAAATTATGATTTGCAGATATTGTGCATATGCATTAAAGTTATTGAACAATAATTTTATAGGATTACCTAGTGTCGTTAGAGTATTACTTAACAATTTATTGTCTAAATTTTCAATAAATCCATCAACAATGCTTATTTTGTTGTCAACAAAGCAGAGTTAGAAGAGCAAAGCAAAAAAATTATTATTATTTTTTTTTTGAACCAGAGCCAGGAATTTAGTGTGAGTTTCGAATTTGCTTTAGCATTTTATTGCTTTTTTTATGCATAGAGAAGTATACAACTAGCATTTTGGATAGACAACTAATTTGCATATTTTTATTTACTAATATAGTTATTGTGTTAAGTATTCTTAATATTTCATTTTATGCTCCGAAGAAATATGTGATATGCTATTATTTTGAGATATATGATTGTTTTGATATCTTATATTTTTGGGAATACATTACTTGTAATATTTTGTACATTTTTTTTAAGGGAACTTATTGGTGAAACTTTTGTTGAAATTTTACTCTAAATCAAGATTCTTAATTTACTCCCATTTTTAATGTATTTACTTTTAAATTAAAATTCAATAATATTAAGTTAATGAAGAAATAAAGTAATAAGGAAAAAGGTTTTTTGAATTTATTGTTATTTTTTAAAAAAGATAAAATATGGATTTATATCAATTCTATTAAAAAATGTTTTTTTTTTTTTAAGATCTTTTTAAAAACTTGAACCTCTTAACGAATTTAAAATAATCAATTTATTTTTTGAAAAGATCGTGTTTTAAACAGAGGCTTGCTGACTATGAGTTAGATTAGGACTGTTGAGAAGATACTTCCACTACCAAGAACCCCATAACCCATTTTCACAATTATTAGCTTATGTTTTTTTCTTTAGTAAATATGGATTGATCTAGCTCAGACACTGCCCAGATGGGTGGAATAGGATTAACACCTTGGCAAGGAGGGGCTCCGTTCTGATTTTTTAAAGAAAGATATATTGAATTCCTAAATATTTAGATGTCGATAGTGTATTTTACTATCATAAAAATTTTCCAGATTTTATTTAGTCAAAAATTATTTTTTCAAAAATTATTTTAAGCATTTGTAATTTATAACTTTAGATAGTTTAAAATCCAGCATAAATTTGTTTGTTTGAAAACCCCTCTCTCTCTCTCTCTCTCTTCCAAGAGAGACTGCCAATGAAGCAAGGCCAGGCCTCGGGCTTTCAGGCTGGGCCGGCTAACAGCCCTCCATGGGGCTGGTTAATGGGCCATTAATGGGCTGCATACCGGGCCGGGCCATTTTGGCTGCTATGGTAAGCCCAAAATATACCTTGGCTAGGCCTAACAAGGCCCGGCCCATTTAACTTATAGTTATCAATTTGGTGTGTTTTTTATTTTTTTTTATTTTCGCTTTTCTTTGAGTGTAAAATTTGTAGTGTTCATATAATGTTACACCTTGAAACTATAACGCTAGCCCTGTAACTAGTTTTGTTAAAGAACTTTGAAGCCTGTTAAGGAAAAACATGTACCCTCCTGAGATGTTTAGATATTTTTCAGAGCAAATTTCTTTAGTTTTAATGCATTATTTGGAGAATATTTCTCAAGATGACTGGTTCTTGTGCACTCACGTGCATTTCGTATGGAGAGAGATTTCTTTGCCAAAAGTAGAGAGAGATAAGGCACAGAGGGGGATTTCTTGGCCAAAAGTGTAGAGAGAGAACAATGCATGGAGAGAGATTTCTTGGCCAAAAGTGTAGAGAGAGAGAGACTGCACTGAAAAAGATTTCTTGGCCAAAAGAAGAGAGATAGATTGCCCAAACGTAGATAATTTATCTAAGATTAGGATTTCCTTTGGTCTTCATATATAAAAAACGGTTCGTGGAGGGCATACTGAGTGCTTAGTCTCTTGGGTGATACTTAAGATTTTTTTTTTTAATCTAATTTTTTTTAAGGGAAAAGTTTATATAGAGCTGAGGTTCTAAATAATCAAATTCTACCTCAAAATGTCACTAAAATAGGTTGTTTTGATGCCCAAATATCCTCAAATTGATCATCTTGACATCAAGATGCGTGATCATGAAAAAAAACGTGGATTTCAAGTTTTGAAAATAGTGTATTTTGTAACGCATTTTTTGACTGTCAATTTTCAAGATTTTCAAGTTTTTATAGATCTATCTATCTACAGTATTTTTGAAGCTTTAAACTTTATAAATAGAGATGAAAATATATTTTAAGGTTTTCACAAAGATTTTCATTATTGATACCACTTTTCTCGACATTGTTTTGAGGTAGGCTCTGATTTGATTAATTAGAGCCTAGGCTTTATACAAACTGCACCCTTTCTTTAATCGTAAACAGAATAGAAGACCAAATAATTAGTTTTTTTTTTTTTTTTATTTGGCTTAACAAGAAAAGTTTGGAGAGATTTTATTTATTTTTTTAAAACAATCTAAATTGGGCGTGGCAAGCCCAATAAACCTAATGGGTTAGGCCGAGCTTCCGAGTATAATTTGGAGCCTTAACAGGTTGTGCGGGCTTTTAACGGACGGGCCTTACCAGGCATAGTTCTGGGCCGGGCAAAATCATGTCCGAGCTTTCCCTAGCTCCTAGTTGGGCCGGCTCGGGCTCTGCCCAGCCCAGGCCACCAAAAGGTCCAAATCAAGAACATTCCTTATTTGATCCGAAGTTTATTGGTCAGGGCTTCCCTTGACCAAATTTTGTGTCTGACTAGTAGGCCTGAATGTACAATCCGGTCTATTGGGACCACCTAATCATTTTTCCTTCATCAAAATCCAAATCCCTTGGTTTCTTTTTCATTTGTGGTAGTGTCATACAAGACCATTTATCTTTGGAAAAATAGGTCACACTCAACTTGTTGTTATATGTCAAATCCGAAATTGTCACAAAAGTTTTGAGAAGTTTTTATTTAAACATAGGAAATTTATCCCAAAGGAAAGTACATAGTGAGACTATAAGGTGGTCATAATTAATCTTGATCATTGGATGTGAAATTAGGTGGCTACATTTATTTCATTGACCAAGCTCAAATTTCAAAAGAAACTCTCTCTAACTTTGTAATGTACCCAAGCTATTAGATTTCACATTGCATGGTTATAAGTAATTGTGACCTCCCTATATTAAAGGTAAATATTATCATTATATACAATCTCTTATCCAAATGCCTACGGACCGATGAATTATTATATATTTTACGTATATAAATTGATTCAATTTCAAAATACCCATCAAAATACATATGATGATAATGAGTTGAAATAGTAACAAATATATAAAATATTGAGTAGTGTGTTTCTCACAGGGAGTTTGACTGCCACCCAATTTCAAATTTAATATGATTGTGACTTGTACAAAAAATAAAATAGCTTTATTATATGTTTTTTCCATTCCATTTTAAATTTGTTTACTAAAGCCAAACATTTCAAGAAACTCGATCATGAAAGAGGGGTAAAGGGTTCACCTATCAAAAGAACTTGCATATATTTTCAGCATTTCCCTTACCACCCAAATTTCATTTATCGTAGAATTAACAATTCTATGTACTTCATGGTGGAATAACAAAGGAGGCATTAACCCACATGGCTTTTGATGAAACTTAATTAAAACTAGCTTCTTTTTACCATGATCAAATATCTTATTCAGCAAACTAATGTTGTCCGATTTGTTTCGAAGTAGCTAGAAAAGAGAAGTGCTTCGACAGATAAGGGGGAGTTTTCATACACTATTTAAAAATAAAAAATAAAAAAGTATCTATATTTAAATTCATTTTAAGTTTTCAATAAAAGAAGTATATTCTTCAAAGTTTTAAATACTACACAAGTATTTTTGTAAAATGATGATTATGTGAAGGGTGCTTTTACAAAATTGGCATATATCAAAGTTGCTTTGCAAGAAGTTACTCCGATATCAAGTTAATCGAGATTAATTCACTTCACATTGTAAGAGTTGTAATATTTCTTCCAAACAATCTGAGGATGAAAATAGCATGATTCCCCTCCAGTGTGCCATCCAAAATTACAATTAAACACAAAAACTACATTGGTTTATAGAAAGAGATGGGGGAGATGGGTTTTGTAGGGTTAGGGTCTTCGAAACTTCTTGCTTGCCGTCCGAACTAGGAACCCCTAGTACTGGATCCCATCCAACCTCTTGTACATATGGCTAGATACGAAATATATGAATACAGCGAAAAAACAAGTACAAGAAATAAAGTACATACAAAATGCACACTGCAATAATATACGATTTATGTGGGTCACCGATCTTCTTTGATAAACCTACTCTGAACACCGGTGATCATCCTCGTTCTCATCCTTCCCACCACTAGATCACTACCGAAATAAATGAAAACCTATAGACCAACCCAGAGACTTTATCTAGAAGTGAAATTATTAACTCGAAACTCCATGAAAGAATCAGTGTTTGATTACTTAGGCGAGCCAGCTCAGACTCACCCAAATAACTCAAGCTTACCACCGTCGGGAGCCTAAGTATCCTTGAGTTGGGTGTCGAACTCAAGGATCTTAATTTTTTTTAAAAAAAATATAAAAAATAATAAATTTATTAGCAATATGTTTGTAATCA